AAATTTTATTTTATAATTATATATTATTGAAAGTAAATTATATCGTGTTCGTATAAAATTACATCTGATGTATTTTGCATGAAATCGGCCCGAACTGTTTTCTGACAATCATTGGGGCCCTTGTCCTCCGATTCCACTTGCCCCTCTCCTATTTTGTTCCTACTTTTGTCATGCACTCGTGCTTTGAATAGCAGTTGCGTTGGTCTACCATCTTTACGTTTCTCTGTATCCTGATCGCAAAATCCCATCACATCACATCCAAATTCAAAATCACATTCTAATCAATTAAAGAAAGCCCAAAAATGTATAGCCCACACATTTGTTATGATTTCCTTGGAGAAAACTTCTATCGACCCCACCTCAAATTAATTTGCAGCCTTTACTTTTTCTCTAAGGATGATATGATTTACGAGTATTTGTTAAACTTACTGTACTGATGCCCTTCAAACATTGGGGTGAAAAATTAATCTAATACTCTATATATGAATTTCAAATTAAAAATAAATTTTGTTATTCATTACTTGTATTATATACATAATTTTTAATTATTTTTTTTAATCTTACATATATCATAACATAAAAAATATTATAATAATTATTTCGAATAAATATTTCAAATAACCTCCCCTGTCCAGATACTATTTAATTAGCACACGTAGAATTTTTAGTAGAGGATGGGCTAAGATTTAAGAAATAAGGAGAGTAGAATTCAAAAAATGGGAAGAGAGAATAGAAATTTAAATCGAGAATCTCTAAGTTTTAGAATCTTAACTTTTAGAAAAATATTCTGTTGTTATGTTACAAATATGTTTTCCAAATATTTTTTAATTTTTTATTATCTTTTTATCACATATATCACATTATAAAAGATGTTGTAGTATTATTTTAAAATTTTAAAAATAATAATCTATTTTTTAACAAAAGATTTTTCAATAAATTGAGAACAAGGTACATATTTTCTTCTACCACTTGTACAATGACTTCAATACGATCCAAGTCTCGTGAAGATAAAAATTGTAAGTAGTAGAGTAGTTCAATTAATAGCATTTTGTGAGTTAAAAAGATAGTCCCTTGAAGCTTTTTCGAACAAATTCAATTTGGTCTTCCATCTTGCTCTGATCACCTTTGGGGCTTGAAGCTTTTCACCAAGTCAAGAGTCTGACTAAAGAAAAGCTTGTACTTTTATTCTTGCCCCTTGAAACTTTGTGATCAATAAAGCAGGGGATTAGTCGGGCCGCCTTCGGGTCTTGACCCGGACACCCCTGTGTTGTCAAAAAAAAAACTTGGTCGTAACATTTTAAGCTGAAAATGTGACAAAAAGTAAAATTGAACTTGGTGGCCAAATTGGATAGCACAATCTAAATATATGATTCATTTAAATACGAGAAGACACCAAATAAAAGATCTATATCTATATAAATTGCAGAAGGGGTTTTTAAAATGGTCAAATCATAAAGTTTCCAACTCCTTGTTCTTTATATATATATATATATATATATATATATATATATATATATATATATATATATATATAGAATTTTGGATTTTTTTAATTATTAAATATCCCTTCATACCTTTTGAATTTAAAATATAAGGAGTGTCTCTACTAATGTAGGAATTTGGTTTAAAGTGTATTTATGGGAGGATAAATAAAGATGAAACATCATTAGTCCAACTAAAAGTAAAAAGGAAAGTAATAATTTTTAACTTTCCACTTAGTAATCCTAACTAAAGGGACAAGTACATTAAAACTGAAAAAGAAATAGTATTCAACAATCATTGACATAATATACTATTCATAAAATCTAAATCGTGAAATCGCTAGATTAAAGAAAAAAGTCCTACTGGCCCTTGAAATTGGAAATTTTTATTTAAAATTCTATTTTTGATAAAGAAATAATAAAAATAGCACTAGTCCTACAAAAAATAAAAAAAAATTAAAATTTACTTTATAACTTATGAGAAAGATGTAAAACAATTGACTGTAAACTACATCTACCCAATTTGTACATATCAAATCTAAATTCGACCCTAATTAGGTTTGAATAAGAGTATAAAACCCAACCACTAAAATTATCTTGGGTATTATTGATTATTTTGTATATTTTCATTATTTTCTTCATATGTAAATATGTAACACTACTATGTCACCAAAGAAAAAAAAAACCACTACTATGTCATTTTTGTGTTTTAATTCTTTTCCTTTTTGTTGGGGGGGGGGGGTTGTTGGGGTTATTATAAGATATTATCAGTTTTTTATTTACATTTTTAAATGCCAATGCTTGCAACCATTGTGATCAATTCTTAATTTTATATAGTTTTCATATAATGGGAGGCAAAGGTTAATATACTCTAAAAGTGTTAAACCAAATTACAAGTTATGAATTATTTTCTTTTGCTTCAAAATTTACCTTTCAATTTAGAGGATGAATGCGGAATCAACTATAAGTCTTTTCAAAAGAAAGTTGACACCATTCAATTCAAATTTAAATCACAAAATATGATGTTTTTATTTTGAAGATAAAATGTAAGTATATTTTAAAGCATAAAACTAAATTAAAAGTTCAAAGAATTTTTTCTTTTGCTACAAATGTTAACTCTTTAATTTGAAGGTTGAAATATAAACCCGTGCTAAGAACGGGTTAGGATGCTAGTCCTTGAAAATCTGGGAGGTTATAATTTTACATCTCCCTTAGATTTTTGTCTGATTGCAAAACTAATAAATTTCATTGAACTCACTCTCAACCTTATTTTTCTTATCATGGCAAGTCATTATCAACTTTAAAAGCTCTTAAAATTTATGATTCTTGCTTTTAAATGTTTTGGTTTGATAAGTGCCAGCATATTACTTAAATCAAATACCAGGATGGCCTTGTTTGGAAGTCAAGTTTTTTGTCAAGTTTGTCTGTTACAAGTTTTTTAAAAACTTTAGCTACAATACCTCAAACAACTTCTCAAAGTTTTTAAACTATACACTTCAAAATATGCAAAAAAAAAAAAAAAATATACACTTCAAAAATTTTTTAAAAAACTTCTACAGTAAGTTACAGTAAAATTTTAGACAAACACCAAAAAAACTCACCTTCCAAATGCGGATCAGACAAATGGAGTTTCCTATTTCATCTAGGGAAAATAAAAATTGTCAAATTGAAAAAAAAAGTGAGACATTAAACAATATTTGGAAATTTTAAAAGGAGTGATTTACTTCTTTAAGTGAGGAACCGCCTATCCGAGTACAACAAGGATTAATGCGCACCTGAATATATACTGGATGAGTTTCAAAGTTGTCTATGGGCGTAGTTTTCCTTATAGAAATAGACACAAAAATGAATTTGTCCACCTTCATTTTAGTCTTCAATGGAACCAATTAAATACTAGCACAAATTAGGTAACTATTTAATTATGTATATTTACATATGACCAATACCTGCACTTACAAATTATTTTTTTGGTACACACTTACAAATTATTACATTCACTGTACAACTTTCTTTTTTTTTTTTGGGGTCAAACATTTATTGTATTTATTGAAGTTAGGGTGTCCATTAGGCATTCGTTAATATATATTTTAGATGTCATATTTTTTAAAAATATAAAATTAATTAAAAAAAATAAATAAATACAATAAAGGGTAGATAAGATCAAATAGGAAAAGTATGTGAATGTAAGAAAATGCAATAATTGTAATATGTGTGTGTATATATATATATATGTGGTAGATTATGTGAATTTTAAATGTGTTAATGAGTGCTTAATGGGCACTTGTTAAAAAAACTCTATTATCGAATGAATTCCAATGTTTCTTTTGTGAAAGAAACTACTATATTACAAAATGATACAAATTTCTTTTGTTTAATCAAAATATATGTAACTCTATTCCTACCTTTAACATTAGCTAAAACAGACAAAGTACCCACAGCATTTGAGTAAAATGAGAAAATATTTGTCCCCGATATCTTCAAAGTAGCATAAAATACTAACAAAATGATAACAACAAAATATATTCGATCTCTTTTTCAGAAAAATAATTCCAAGGCTACAAAATGTGATAATTTTAGAACAATTTCACCTAATACCTTTAAGTTTTTTAATATTACAGTTACCTCCCTTGACCCTATAAAATGACCTTAATAGCTTTTAATATATTAATATTTTTTCATGCAATTAAACAATCTACTCCTAATCTTGTTCATATGAATGCATTACAGATATTTAATGGAAACCAAAATAAAATTCACTCATGGAATAATTGATTACGTTCTAAACACAATTATAACATATTACAAATTAGTTTTGCTTGGATGATCTGGAGGTGAATAGAAAAAGATATAAGTTGGGTTTAAAAAGAATAGGGCTGGTATTGGTACTCCAACATTTGAGCGATAGAATGTTGTATTAATGTGGTTATTGAATCCTTTTGAGTTTTTTTTTGTTATAATTTCGATTGCATTTTAGAATTTAGGGATTGATAGTTGTAATGGTGATAATGGTATTAATTTGAGATATAGTAATATAAAAGGTTTAAAATAGTAGAGATGAGGGTTAAAATTGAGTTTGAGATTTTGTGCATGTTTCATAGTTTTTAAATAATTTTATAAAAAGTTAAAATGAACTTTTCAATTTTATGTGGGCATTTTAGATTATTCATTTAAAATTTTGATCATTAAATAGTTTTTATTATAAAAAAAGTAAATTCAATGGAGGTATGTGTAATTTTTCAAACCTCAAGAGAAGTAGGTGAAATTTTTTAAAAAGCTCAAGGAGGTTTCTGAAATTATCGCCCACAAAAATAACAGAATAAATTAAAAAAAGTTTTCCCTGTCATCATTTGATGACGCGTGGCATGTACACCGTCGCCGAAATTTGGTTGCCCTACGTCTCTCTCTGTTTCTGTGTACTTCAAAAGTGTCTTACTTCCTCCTTAAAAAGACCGCTGAAAACCTGTGTATTTCCTACCTCAATTAACTCAGTTTTTGACCAACCAGGTACCTGCCCCCTCCTCTTCGTATATGTGAAATTCTTTATTATGTTATGGTCAGCAATAATACTTTTCCAGTTTTCCAGAGTATGTAGTCAATCCACTTAAATTCTTGCTGTTTCTTTTTGTGTGATCAACCATTTTCAATTCTTGAAACGACCCTTTTCTTAAATATGTATGAAATTTAATCCCTTTTGACCATTTGCAATTTCTTTTGGAATTTTGAATTTCTGGAAAAATCACATGATGTGGCAGTGGCACTAGTATTTAGGCTTTTAGGCTCTAGATTTTTCCTAGGTGATGACTAATGAATACTTTTGCCAGATGTTAAGGTTCCTACAGGGACCCTTTTGGCCTAGGAAACTGATACACGCACAGCACATGGTGGAATTATTCTGCGGAAGCTTATCTCCTCCTTTTATAGATTTACCTGTTTCCATATTTTTGTTTTGACAGGGATTTATTGGGCAGTGTGTACATAAAGATTCCAACTTTATAAGGGGAAGGTAGTAAAGGCTAAAGGGTTGATTGAGATGATAGGTGAGAATAGTCTGAACTTGTGTTTTGAGAAGCTGATGGTTTTCGGAGGAGGAAATTGTAATAATGGTAAAATGGGTGGGGCTGCTGGAAGAGAGATCACTGAGTGGAAGGATATTCCTCTGGAGTTGTTGTTGGGGATTGTTTCACTTGTTGATGATGATAGAATTATGATTCTGGCTTCTGGGGTTTGTAGTGGCTGGAGGGATGCCATTTCTTGTGGTCTCATCCATCTGAATCTTTCTTGGTATGATTCTCTCCTCAAAATTCGATTTTGGGGGAAATATATTTATATTTTTTATGGTTTTAATGTTTTTTAAAGAAGTCCCTCACCTGATTTCATATCAGATTTATTGCTCTATAATTTAAGCATACATGTGCTATTTGTAGCTTTGTTGAAGTTTGATCAATATAATCTTTGATTTAGTTTCACATGTTAATGCCTGATTTCTTTGATTACCATTTCTGTAAAGTCAGCTCCTTTTATTTGATAGAACTTCCTTTTCTGTTCGAGTAGACTTCTGTTGAATGTTGAACGCATATATTACAACTAGTCGCTATTGGAATCTAGTAGTAATTTTGATTTTGGTCATGATGCGCCCATCAACTTTGTCCTTTGGTGGATAAAATAAGAATTTCTGCTGACGTGCATTTGGTTATGACTTGATTTAAGTGCTAATTTTGATGTATGCAGTTGCAGTGAGCATTTAGATGCTATGTTTATTGAAGAAAAATGCTAATAGCACAACTTCCATGTTAGGTGGACGATGCTTTTCAGGAACTTTAATCCTTTCATGTTATCGTTTGCTCCTGCTGTGCTGCCTTGACGGGATAATTAGGAAATATGTTAAAGGCTGTTATCCAAGTCATCAAAGCATCTGCAATGACTATGCTTATATATTCAGTCCTTGAGATACTTGACTTTTTATGTCAAGTGCTCTTGAATGAACATCCAACCTTTTTTGAAGCAGTTTTATTGTTGGTTTTCTACCATGAATTAATCTGATATTGGCACAGATATTGGCCTTGAGGTTTATCTGAACTACAGGGCACCGCCCTGGTCTAGATACTTGTATCCTTTGGTCCATTTCTTGAATTGGTCTGCTTATGAGAGTTGTTCCCAGAAGAATAATATTATCTTGGTTGCTTATGAGGATTTTCTCCTGGTTTCCTTTGTCACCTCTAAATCCGTGATATTGTCCCTTTTTTCTTTTGAGAATTGTGTTAATTGGCAATTCTATTTCTACAGGTGCAAGAAGAACATGAACAATTTGGTTCTATCACTAGCTCCAAAGTTCACAAAATTGCAAGTTCTAAATCTGCGACAGGATAAACCGCAGCTTCTAGATAATGCTGTCGAGATGATTTCTAAAAATTGCCATGATCTACAAGACGTGGACCTCAGCAAGAGCTTCAAGCTTACTGATTACTCCTTGTATGTCCTTGCTCATGGTTGTCCAATTCTTACAAGGCTGAACATAAGTGGGTGCTCGGCTTTCAGTGACAATGCTCTCGCCTATCTGGCAAGATATTGCAGAAAACTTGAAGTCTTAAATCTTTGTGGGTGTGTTAGAGCTGCAACTGATACAGCATTGAAGGTATTAAAGCCTTGTAATTACTTGCTATAATTAGAAGCCCTCAAAATTAGTGATTCTTCATACTAGCTAAAGCTCTTTGCAGGCTATTGGGCATCATTGCAATCAGTTGCAGATCGTGAACTTGGGATGGTGCGAGAAAGTTGGTGATGCTGGGGTAACAAGTTTAGCATATGGCTGTCCTAATTTAAGAGAGCTTGACTTGTGTGGCTGTATTCTTATAACAGGTACTTCCAAGTGAAGCAAGTGCTTAAATTCATGTCAGACGAGTTATGTGCCTGACTTTAACTGGCTCAGAAAATCAATTTACTCAACTAATAATTCCTATCTTTCGTGAATGTGTTTGAGCAGTTATTTGTAAATGCGTGCATTATTTAATTGCAATGGAACTGTGATTTAGTGTATATGGTTCTTGATCAGTCATGGAGGGAACAAGATGGAGTTAGCCTGCTGAAGTTTTTGTCCTTTTCTGGATGACAATTTGGAAAACATGATTAAAGTTTACACGAAGCACATCATAAGATGAGTATGGAGATGATCAAGTTGTGATACCTTTATTGAGGAGCTGATAGAAATGAAGATTGGAAGTAACAAGGAGAAATTAGAAATATAAGCAAATTATTCTGCACAGTGTCTTAAAGCTTGTCATTTTGTTGGTCACTTCAATTGTACATCAAGAGGAAAAATGCTTAAGATGAAGGGCATTAGGATGTGGCTTAGGTGCTTTGAAAGGAAGGTTGAGAAAGTGTGTACTAGGAGTCACTCCTGTACCAAGTGACTCAAAAGTGGGTAAAAGTTGAATTTGATGAAAGGCGTTAAATGTAGCTATGGCTGTTACAATAGCGTATGTCCTTCATCTCTCCTCTTTGTTTTTATGCACGGAAATGCCACATTGATGACTGAAAAGTTTACTATTAGGAGTCTTGAAAGATAAGCTGATAACTTCTGCAATGTCTTCTTTATCTTTTATGCAAGGTGCAGATACTTAGTTGTGGGTCAAAGTGTTTTTACTATTTGTGGTTAATTTATTTCTTAAGCCAACGCATACTGATAGCTTAATAGGGTTGAGTGTCAAAAATTGTGGTTAAATATTTTGACTTTGCTTTATAAATGGGTAAAGTTGGATAATGTTCCTCTGGCATCCTGCATTTGAATGCAGTAGAAAACTTGGACGCGAGTTGTCTTGAGATTTTTTCCAGTTTCTGGACTGTTTGATATATGTTGTTGTATCGTCTGCATGCTGTAAATTGCTTGCTTAATAAATTTTTCATGAATGTGATGGCAGATGAGAGTGTGATTACTTTGGCAACAAACTGCCCTCATCTGAGATCTCTTGACCTGTATTACTGCCGGAACATCACAGACAAAGCAATGTATTCTCTAGCTCAAAGTGGAGTCAAGAACAAGCGTGAGATGTGGGAGTCTGTGAAAAACAGATATGGAGAGGGGCTTGTACATTTGAACATCAGCCAGTGCACAGCCCTTACTCCTCCAGCAGTTCAGGCAGTATGTGACTTGTTTCCTGCTCTCCATACTTGCCCCGGCCAGCATTCTCTCATCATAAGTGGCTGTCTTAACCTCACATCTGTGCATTGTGCCTGTGCTGTCCAGGCACACCGGGCTCTTGCCGCAACCCCCCATCCAGCTCTTTAAACTGTGTTTGGGAGATTCCATGAACTTGATGTAAGCTCCTGATGAAGGATCATTTTTCCTTGTACATATTCCTGTGTTCACTGTATGATGGACATTTAAGATTTGTGGCTTCATATGCCCTTTTATACTTCCATTTCTGCAGAGTTTGTTGGTTGTGTTACCATGTACTGATTTCAATCATTATCATGCAATCTTAGCCTTGTTGAAACTTGTCTCTGTGTTCTCATCAAGAAAATGAGCACCACAGGTTTCACATTTTCAAGGCCAGGTTCTGGACTATCTTGAGTGCTTTATAACTGCAAGAACACATGCACTTTGCTGCATGCATAAGGCCATTAAAAAAGGTATTTGGAGTTGCTGAGTTTTGCCTGACAGGTGCATCTTCCGTTTTGCGAACGATCAGATGGTGCTGAGCAAAGGGGCAGGAAATGTATCTGAGATTATTTTTCTGATCTCGGGGTTCCTAACAATTTGTTTGAGAAACTTCTTTTATCCAGATAGTTGGCTTATTTCTTAGTACATGCTCAATCGGGGGTGCAGCAAATTAGCAGGATCATCTATCAGCCGAAGATATTCGAGGAGTATCAGAAAGAAAATGAATTAAATTTGAGTATGAACTTCCAAAACTTGAACCGGCACTACCAATGACTAGTGATAAGCGCTTTTTCTTGAAAACCCTTCGTTTTCTTCTGCTTCCGTTTTGCTTTGACACCAAAATATCGAGGTGGTCTCATGATAATCCTCTCAAACATTGTAACTGAAGCTTATGTGGTCAAAGCCCAAGTTTGCAGGATGATGAGTAAGAATATAACAATCAGAAGTTGTATGGTCAAGCAAACTAATCCCATGGAAAACTTCAAATTCAATTATTTTTTTTTGGGTGCAGATCCTACTTTTGAGCTTAAAATACCCTTCTGGTTTATAAAGAAACGTCTGTAAGTGCTATTATTGTCAGAAAAACAAAAGCAACTAATACATGGCCCTATATTTTGTTTGCTCAAAGCTTTCATTAGATTAGTTCCCGTCCAGCAATATTAATCCCTGAACCCCAAGGGCCAGTTGATATCATATAGATGAATCCTGAGTTGTAAAGTCCAACAAAAGTGGAAGCAATCCTGGCTTGCGGATTCCTTCAAACACTATATGTAGCAAAAGAGTACTCTTCTTTGTTAACATTGCATATATCTGCTCAATAAACCAAAATGGTACTAATACAGTTACAATATGAGACATTCAGATATGAGAGCCAGTTTCCATCTCTTTTTCCACATTTTTGTTAAATGGCTCATTTTCCTTTATATACAATTTCTTCATCATCCACATCAAACGCAGGGTTACAGAGACACCTGAAAAGTCTGCCAATGCCCTGCAACCACAAAGAGATTGAAAGAAGAAAAGAAGCAGCTGTTACTACTAAGCTTGCGTGCCAGTTTCATTCAAGTGGTTAAGCCACCCCAACTATCCATAATAATGAGCAGAGATTTTCAATTTGATAAGCAATACTGAAAACATGGAAGCCTTCTAGCAGAGTAGGAAGTGCATAGCATGTAGATACTACATTACAATAATTTGATCTATAAACAAAGAGAGAAAAGCCAACGTAAATGTGATGACAAGTCAAAAGAGTCGTAGATACAGCCCGAGTAAACATGATGTGCTATATTCTTGAGCTACTTGATATCACATTATTCCATCTTTGTTTCAACACATATAGGGCTCAATATGTGGAAATTTCTTTTAAAGAAATTGAGAAACTGATTCAGTACTTCCATCTTGTTCAGTCATGCAGCCAATTAGCAGGTGAAATGCAAGGTGGATATGGCAAGACTCAGAGAATCTTGATATGTGTAAAAGAAGTGCATATGAAATACGGGCATATATGCAGTTTCTAGGGACGCATAATCTGTTAATACCTGTGTTAATAAAGGAGTCCGATAATTAAGGGCTCTCGGTGAATCCTCATCATCACTGCTCTCTGAACTGCTATCATCGACATTTATACTGGAAGCGATCTTATTTTTAGATGTTCCTCCAGTTTGCTTATGCTTTGCATTCTGTGAGAAAAAGACATTTTAAACAGAAAACACTGGTGCTTGAACAGGTTAAAAAGGGTATCAGCGATGTAGCTTATCTTATAATTATCCTTTTACAGCTACTTAATTTTTTTAGTATATCAAACTTAGTTTAAAATTGTGGCACTAGCGAGTTCATCAAATACATCTACTGATTAAAATGTATGATTTGCATCTGATATTAGGTGGCTAAGTGCACAGTTAAACCTCCAAGAGAAAGGACTAGTCTACTTGATGACTCAAAGATGAAATAGCTTTTAACAGGTCATAATCTGCAAAGAAGCATGATGACTTCATGCACGCTCCACCTGAAATATTTTTCCCAAAATTTTCAAAGCCACTGCTCGTGTTTTAAGTTCTTCTTTTCTGACATTGGTTTCTTGTAGCACCTGCAAACACCAAAGTTGATAGTGTCATCTCCCTTTGAAACAGTTTAAGCTTCTAGTCCATTTTGCATTACTTATCTTGTAATTCCGGAATTTGACATCTGATATAAGAAGACACTGGCAGCAATCAAGAGACAACTGTCTGAATTCCAGATAGCTGTATAGCAAAATCATTATGGATTTGATTTGAGTAAAAAGGACCTAGCACAATAAACTTACCATTTGGCATACATGCAATAGAGTCACTTCAATGTCTACTACATTCAATTTCCATATTGAATTCATGAGTACACTATTGTTGTGTTTTAGATGTGATTCAATGTCATTTTCAGGTCCACTTCCATCCATTTTAAATTGGCGACGTACATCTTCTTGCAGTTGCAGCAGCTGAAAAGCACCTAGAATCATTTTACTGATCAACGGATGTGAATTGATAATGCACGGACAAATACAATTTTCAGTAGGATAAAGATGTTTGCAGAAGTCTACCGGCACACCTTTTGCTGCAGTAATCTGTGATTTCCAGAAGTGTCCTTTATGTCGAAACCACTCAGCTACAAATGGCATTCCTAGGTAGATTGCTTTCTTTCCAAGCTCTTGAGCTGCCTGTCTGGTGTATACATACCCAATTGTGTCCAAAATATCAGCTCCAAAAGCTGTAAGTTTTCACATACGAAATATTCAGTCAGGAGCCCAACATTAACAGTTCAACAACATTGTACATTAAACGGTAAAAAGCATAATATATATACAGAACACATCCATATCATTATGTGCACCAATAAGCAGGTATTAAGAACTTGACATTGCTTCCATTTTTTATCCAGTGGTTTTACTCAAAACAATACTAAGCATGATATTCAGGTTTTGCGGGAAAATTTGCATCACCAATAATATACTTATCTTCATGAAAATACTAGTTAAAGCAAGCAGAATAAAAATTGAAGAATGAAAAAAGAAAGTGATGTTATTATGAGAAATACCAACGTGAGTTAGACAAAGTCCAGTAAACAGCCTGTGAGAATTCAAGCATAGAATGATGTAGCCACTGCTAACTCATTGCAAGACACCATCACTGAATTAAGACGCCAATTAAGTACCTTAAAAACCAAATAAAAACCAGAGTATTGAGAGGAAAATGATGGAGTTAATAGATGGAATATTCTCAATCTCATTTGATATTATTCAGTTTTCAGTTTAGCCTTTAATAGTTGGGTATTGAATTGTCTCACTGGAATTACTAGCTTTATACTGTAAATACTAGTGATGGCATTCAAAAGGCAGCAAGTCCATCTGAGTTTTGTGCTATAGACATTAGACCAAACTAAAATAGCAAACTAACAACAAAAAGAAATCAATTCTGTCACTCGTAAAATAAGGGTTTTATCTATGCAATTTCTTGCAAGTTCAAATGACAAAATTAGCCATCGATAGTTTACTTTGAACATGAGACCATAAGGCTTTGGTTTCTTGAGATATTGAAAATATAGTGACTATCCTAAAGCATACATCCTGCTGAAATTAAATGAGCATTTTAGTAGAAATAAGAAATCCTCAATTATACTTTGACAGAGAACTTATATGTGAGAAAGCAAGGAATTACAGGGATTTTCTTGCTTTCTGCTTTACCTGCACGAGAAAGTCTGTCAGCTTCAGATTCAGCATGTCGTAAGAAGCCTTCTTTGTCACCTCGAACATATTGGTAAAGCAAATCTTTAAGGGTCCTTGCAAGTTTTTCTTCTCTTTCTCTTTGGACAGTCTTCACTACCATTACACAAAATTAGCACTGAACGGTAATGGGACCAAAACAAGATATCCAGTTGAATAAAAGCCATAAGTGGTCTTTCATTTGGAAAAATGTCATGCATTTTGGACTGATGCTGACTTATAAAGATTACTGGTGCAGGTTCTAGAACATTAAGGCTAGGGATGTGGATATTTTCTGTTTAAAGCAAAGAAAGGATGGTGAAGTGGAGTCTTCTACAAGCTTATAACAGGTGGACAAACTAGCAATCTCGGCACACATTTCATTTGAAGTTGCAAAATTAGTAATTCTGACTCTGATCAGTAGGATCACACCTTGAATTGGAGCATATTTTCAGCTGACTAATGCGACAAATAAGTAACTTCTCTGCATGCAAAATGTAGATTTCCAGAAGCTCCAGAACATACTTGCCTTCAGTCTATTGTGTACTTGCTCAGAATTGTCATTTTCACCGGCTAATTCAAAGGAAGCCATGGATGCCACAGACAGGTGTCCAATGTAGTCTTCAAAAAGTTCACTTCCAAAAAGTAGTGCGAAAACAGCAGTTGGATCAAGCATAGTTTCCCTAAAGAGCAAGTAATCTTTAGGATGACATAAATAAAGTGATAGCAAATTCATGTTGCATATAACATATGCAGATGCGTACTAAATATTAGTGAATTTGGAAAGGAGAACTTGCAAAGTGCCTCATTTCTCTCAACTAAAGTGGTGATAGTGTGGCTATTATTGCTGAAAAAGCAAATATATGTTTCATAATCCAAAAGTGCTCCATTACTTAGCCCGATGACTGACTTTGAAGGATGCAAGGTATGCTTTGATGTGTTGCATATCATCAATGATAAAGGAAAACAGTTCTCCATCTGTAACTTAACTAGATACATGACATGACTTTGCTCTCGAAGCTGACCTTTTACCTCTCTCAGTTTTCAGAGTTGTTAGAGTTCATTTGCTACGGACACCAAGTCAGTTTGGAGGATCATGGTAACAATGTCAAAGGATAATAGTTCTACTGTCTGGCGCATGCACATTTTTAAGTAAATCAGCCGCGTATACAC